GATCCGTTTTAAGGGGGAATATGTGCGTGCCTTCCGCCATTACTTTAATGGGTGCAAACATTTCTTAATGGTGATAGCAATAAGCTTAATGAAAGGTTTCAGAAACGTTATAAGTGTATGAATGAAGAAATGGATGAAAGAATTAATGATTGATGAAATATCAATTACTGAAATGTAAAGACTGATAAATTGAATTTAATTAAGAACAAATTTCAAAAATATATGCCTGCTATTTGGCTACACAATCTTATTTTTGACTTAGACCCTCACAGTCTTTAACGATACAGGTAGCCCAATTGACTTGAAAAGGCTACACGATTCTAATTCTGCCCGCATGATCTTTTGTACTTTGTCCCTAAATATTTGCTATTTTCTCGGAGTCAGTTGACATTGACATTTTTTTATTGATGTTTTTAATGTACTTTCCGTTTCGACGTTACTTTGGTCTGTCAATTAACAGTGTTCCGGTCTTCCGGCGACAACTGATGATAGCTGTAATGGCGCCAAGTATCTACAAATCAGGGATGTTGCCGTTTTGAACAACATAAATAAACTTGGTTTGCTCTCAACTCGTGCTGTTTGAACAGAATAAAGCTCTTGTCATGATTTTAGGACCGGTTCATTATGAGGGATTCCTCGTTGGGGCTCAATTTCGTCAACTCGTAACCACTTTTTGTGTTAAATCTCATACGAAATACCTATTATGATATAAAACATCATAAAAGTCATTAATACTAGCAGCAGATTACACAGTAAAAGGATGAGTTTGTTGAGTTACTCGAATAAGAAAACACCTAGCGATCTCCCTAATGTCAGCCTCAGCCTGCATTCGGCCAGCTGCCTGTGATTTCTGTTTGATTTCAGTAATGCTTCGCCATCTTCATCCAATGACGTAATTTGTATTAACTAAGATCAACTGGAATATAACAAAACAATAAGACTAGTCCAGCTCTATTGGATGAATAGACAAGACAAGGAAAACTTAAGAAACTATCCATTTAACATGGTGGTGAAATTGAAACGTTGTCAAACAACTTATTTTCCTCAAGATACTTCGCGTACTGTACTTCACTTTCCTCTAAATCAGGCCAGAAAAATTATACAACTCCTGATTTAATTCTATTTAGTCGCAGTTTAGGGTAGTTAATCAAAGAGTGCTGATAGACGAATAATTAGTTTATATGATAGTTAATTAGCATATCATTAGCATAAGCATTTCATGTTTTAACCCAACTTTTACAAATCAGCACTGAATATTAAAACAAAATGACGAAACGAGCTTTCCTATAGATGTTGAGCTTTCCATTTGAAATGGTTTTTGAGCCAAGCGGTTTAAAAACCTCAAATTGTTAGAGAGATAATATGAGCTAATTTTGCTACTCAGCATCTTTGAACCCTAATATCTCATAAAATACTGTACGTAAAGAGCTCAAACTTTCATAGATTTTAGTTCTCACTAATCCCTTTTAGATATTTCTCTATTTTTCAAATCCGCCTACAGAACTAAGTTTTAAGCACGCTTCGTCCTTAATCTTTGCCCAAACGAAGTAGGCATGTATGATCAACCACACGTGCACTTACCAACACAGTTGGAAGACCACACCTGATAGCATGATATCAGTTATTGTCCTTTCTAATATTGTTTTTAATGTAGATTCATGATTTGTGAATGTAAAAATACATAGAAAACAATTCCTCAAATCTGAAAATCTAGCACCACAAGTACTTAGATACGCACATATATGTGTGGTCGCCAGACGTATCAACCAATGGCGCCTATCGATCTAGCATGGTGCAATCTTGGACGTGCTGTATGTGATAATCCCTATTAGTGCTAACTATTGTACTATATATAGAATTATAACTACTGAGCTTGCTCGAGGGCGCACCAACTGTGTGAGATTCGATCTTAAAACCGACGGATGAAAACGGATTGCGAATGGACATTTGAAGTCACCTTATTTTTCATACATGAAAGTCCCATCAAGATTTAATATCTAATTTTATCTATTTACACCATAATTTCTATATTTCTGAACCCCAAATCTGGGTGTGGTCGGGGATGGGGCCTATCCACCCTAGGGTAGGGTTCTAATAACAAAAGGTGCTACAATTTCTTCAAGCGTTTGCGGAAAGCCTATTGTTAGAATGTAGTCAGAAATATCTAGACTAAAGATAAATTGGAATGTTTAAAATAAGGTAGTTCTATAGATTATAGTCCCTGGGGATATACACTAATCTTAACCCTCCCCCTATTTTCATAACAATATGTCACGGCTCTTCCTTCTTGCTTATCATTATTGCTCTTTCTTCTAAATGGTTTAAACCTCCCTATATTCAATGATAAAGCCAACTTTTTATTTAGTACCGAAGTCCGGACACTTCAATCATGTTATTTCTGGTGAGAATGATTAAGAAAATACTGTTGGGTTTTGCTTTGTATGAAATCGTGCCTTGTCTAAGCAAAATGACTTATCATTGATGAACTACAGTTGGACTCCTAGGCGGACCCTGCCTTAGAAATATCATTCCTTCTTCAGATACTAACTAGTGTCATCACTAAATTGAGCAAACTACTGGACTTATCTACTAAAATATGAAGCAATTCTGTTTTTTAATAAATGTTCTCAAAAGTCTGGTGGTACGATTATTTCTTAGAGCTCACAAGTCAAATATTTGAACGTTCCCGTGATGCAATGCGGTTCATATCACGTAATTCTGTATTTCCATCGCCTTGAGGTTCTAAAGATACCGAGAATCATTGCAGAGCGACGCATTTAGGTACACTATGACGTACGTGTTGAGAGGTTTTTGAAACCGTGAAATGTTTAAAATTGTCATTTGACAACGTCAACGACCCAGTATGTTTACCGTATCAAGGCATACTCTAAACCGTCGCCTTCGTTACGACTAAAAAATAGTATGAGTAATGCATAAGGTCTAAAGGATATTTGCTGTAATTAAGTCATTCAATATTGAACTGGTGCATCTTAATCAATTGTATCCGTCACTTTAAACCATTATAGTGATAGAGTACTATATAGTGTTGACGGACGAGGTAGTTTTCTAGGATTTGTAAGTCGGCTAATTAACCCAGGTGCTCCGCCTTATATGTAAAATTGTAAATAGCCTTAAGACGGCGGCGCGATAGCTACTTTTACAACCCTGTAATAACATTGGGCTATAAGTCATGATATCAACCAAAGTTATGTCTCCCACAGATCTTGAGATAAAGCGAAGGCAAAGTGTGTTTTTTTTTCTATTGTATTGAAGCTGTACTTCTGTCGGAGTCTTGTCTTATCAAACAGCCGCGTTTTAATTATTCATACCTATTTTGATTAATTTTTAAAGGCAAAATATAAAGAACTCTGCAAATTATATGCCTTGATAAATATAGTTGAGCTTACAAGCCAAACAGAATGTAACTGGCTCGTGCTGTTTTACATTAGTTAAAACACGTCGAGGACCCCATATTGCTAGATATTCGTTCCGGTTATAGGTATTGCGATAAACTTTACTTACGTTATCTTGGGTTAAAAATGGGTTTTTGACTATTATACAATAATTTGATTTTTACAAATTTAGAAAACATGACACCACTTTTATCAGATATTTAGAAGGCTCTTGGAGTGGCGCACGCCATTATTTTTTGTAGGAAAATCAAAGTAGGTTTATGGTCTCAATAAAGGTATTATCTTCTGTATATTGTAAACAAACGTTAGAGCATGATATAGAACTGCGTCAAGTGTTTAAGTGAACTGCCGTTTTGTCGTTTTTCGCTGTAAACCTTAAAGTACATTGAGAGATGATTTCTTACGAAAACATCGATCAAAAAATCAGGTATCAAAGTGTTATTACAAAATGTACAAACACAGCTAAATGTTGGTTTTGGTTAACAGGAAAATGATCCTACTTAAGAAGCTTTTTTGGTTTAAATAATGCTCTAGTATAAAAGAGAGATTTATTTTTTTCCAAGAGTCTTTCCTGATATGGCCTGGGTGATTTCACGCGTCATAAGCGTGACGCTTTGAGAGATTTTGTATGTGGTGTGTTTTTATGGCTTGTTGTATAAGTGACCTTCATTGATGAGATTCATTATCTTTACTTGATTGTGAAGTATTGATTTTCTTGATTTTTTATAGAACTGTTGGAGCCATAGATTGATCTCCGACATCGATATACACTCTCAATTAATCAATAAAATCTCTGTTTTCTCTTACGAACTCTTAAAAGATCGATAGATAACTTGATTTTCGAATGGAAACCTACCGTTCATGCAAGGTAAACCTCTAACGTGATAAAATCCATCGATTTTAATGATCAAAAAATTCTGGGATTACAGAGTATCTTGTTTTAACGCCTTTTGATCGGTATCAGGATTTTGCGAAAGTAGAGTATATATACAGACGCTGAGGATTGAGTCTCGCGTGTATTGCGTTCTGATCCATCCATCATTTTGACAATATTTTCACTTTTTCTCTTCCGTCAAAATATGCAGAAAGACCTCAAGTAAGAAACAAAACAGGAAGAAATATTGTTATTAATCATAACGACATTCTTTTTCTTTCTTTGTGGAGATTAAAAGCATGAAGTTGTAATGAAGTATAGTCTTGGGAAAAAAAGCCCAAATGATTGATATTGATTCGGTTTCGATGGCAGGTCACTATTGAAGATACCGATTATACAGTGGCTTTGAAAAATTTAATATCAATTGCTGTCAGTCTTCAAGGGTCTTTATTTGTACTCGTCAGACCGAGTTTTTGAAATGAAATATAAATTTTAGCGATTTGTTGAGTAAATAAGATAGATTTTCCCATTTAAATGGTGTATTATGTCTTTTGATTTAGCACTTCGCAACACATTGAAATTAGAACAAGAAAACACATCAGTGTCACTAGTCATACAGTCCATGTGTTTCATGGCCACAGCCTTGCGATATTATGCATTTTTAATATTCTCAGTTACCATAATTGCATCAAGTGTTTTACAACAATGAATTCTACGCTCTCGTCAGTGTAACTTTAATTTGTTTTGTTTATTGAAGATAGAATCTGCTAATTAGCAAATGTAGCTACAATTTTCCTTCTTTTTTTGTATTGTAGTTTCCTAAATTATTTGACATGGCTTAAAAATCGAATCGATTTGAGGTAAATCAATAAAAGCAGCATCATTTAGTTGGTTTAATTTGAAAGTCATCATCGTTCTATTATCATTATTTTCTTGATTCATACTCCAAGCAATTACATATATGTATATATTGTATGTTTACATTTTTTTTTCTTTTCGCGTTCAGTAGTTACTGTTACTATTACAGCTGAGAGATTTGCTTTCAGCATCAATAACGCTCAAGAATGTAGCTTTTGTTGTTCGCATGCTTTCACCGTTGTATCTTCCCCGCCCTGGTCTTGCTCTTTCCTTAAAACGCTTACACGGCAGCATTGCCCTTACTTCGCGTTGAAAGTCCAGTTTCATGAAAGTGTAAAGAAAGGGGTTTATCAACGAAGAAAGCATGATGCAGTAGTGCGAAATGATCGTAAGTGACGCTGGGATGATATCCAGTCTATTAGCTACGTATGCCGCAAAGGTCATGTATATGACAGGGATCCAGCATGTAGCAAACACCGCCAGGATAATGAAAAACATTTTCACAGATTTTGACTCGCGTCTGCTTCTCCGGGCCTCGTCAATTCGAGTCCTTGTAGCGTGTAGATTGCGCAGTAGTTTACCATGTTGGCGTAACTTTACGAAGATAAAAGTGTACACAAACAAAATGAAAACGAGAGGAAGAACAAGGAACAAGATGACTGCACATGACAGGTACACTTTGTGGACAAGAAGTGTTTCGTCTGCTTTCCAAAACACAGGCAGTACAGACATAAGACCAGACGCACCCCAAACAGCGACAACAATACGAATAAAAGAGGTTTCTATCCTTGACTTGTAAGCAAGAGGTCGAACAACCGCCAGGTAGCGGTCAAACGCCACTGCACTGAGGTTAAGTGTACTGGAGACAATGACCATCATTGCCACATGTCCTCTAAACGTAGAAAGAGGTCGCAGTACAGCAACAGGCATGAAGATCCCACCACTTAAGATATCGGACACTGCTAGTGATACCACAAAACCGTTTGTATACGTACGTAGCACCCTCCGTGCAATGACTAGCCAGCACACTGCGACATTGGTTGCTACYACCAAGCCTGACAGTACTAGTAACATAGCGTCAGGAACTGTAAACTCCTGCATCTTGGAGTCCCAGTGTTGTACAGGATTTCTCAGTAAAGAGAACTTTTGAAGGCGTTTTAACACCCAAGATTATCTGTCGCCAAAAGTACCGAGTGTTAAAATGGAATCTCTAATTGCGACTCGCCAGTTCTAGTCCATTTCACCAAAAAGATGTTATGTCTGTACTAACTACCAAAGCGTTTGTCTATCAATCTTTGTACATAAGAACGTCCCCGTCCACTTTTATGCTTTCCCGGGGAGTTATTGAGTCATCGTAGTTTTTTTTAATATGAATTTGTTCGATAGGTTTTTAATAGAGTGGAAATACTCAGCTAGGCGGCTTTGAAACCCTAAGTAAACAAAAGATTTGATTGGTTGGGATGCCTGTTATTTACATGGTTGGGAAGGACAAGGATAGTTTGCAGGTGGAAAATATTAGAAACATAATTCAACTTTCACATGAATACGTTGAACCTACCTTAATGTCTTTGAACACACGTAAACATCGGCTTCGAATTCATTATATGCCGATATTGAAACTGCCCAGGTGCTTTAACTATACGACCTGCGCGCGCGAAGCTCTTCACACCAGCCAATGAAGACAATAGTTGTGATAACAATAAAAGCGAATTGGGGATCATCACGCAAATAAATAAACCTTTGTTAATACATGTACTTGAGGTTTCACTAAAGCAATGAAAATTAAAAACTTTTATTGTTTATGGTTGTCAATTAGAAATGGTGTATAATTCAAGCTTAAGCAATGTCGAATCATTATATTCGAAAAGACCGCTTCCTATCTTTATATAGTAAACACAAAACCAGTGACTGTAAGAATGACTTTACAATATTTCAGCTATGAAGAATACCGACTTAATGACCGTCAGGAAATTCATTTTATTTTATTGGTTTTCTTGAAGTTTTACATTAAGAAAGACAGTTCCGATTTTGAACTTTTGTTTATCTTGGATTATCACAGCTGAAAAGCGAAACCCACCGTTATTATTATTACCGGATAATTTTTTTTAAATTAAACCCTGTATTAGTCATAAATCTTGCATGGACATGTTGTGCAATGATAGCTTGAGTAATGATCCCACGTATGCAATGAGAAAAAAGTCTTTTTAAAATGTACGGAAGTCCTTTGAAACATTTTTGCCTGGGAGTGACATTTTACGTCATGGTCTTAAATGATATAATCTTTACACTAAGTCTAAAATATCAACGGCTTTTATTGGTGAAAAATATGCAAGGATGTTGGAAAAATAGTTGTGTTATCTTTATACGTCCTTAAAAGTGTGATTTATTTTACTCTTATCAAATCTTCTTTTTTTCTACCTTGATTTATCAACCACTTTTTGCTCGTGTGTCCTTGTTCCACTCGATATCGTTAGCACTGGAAAGACTGGAAGTTTTGACATCTTTACCATTGAAATGTTTGTTCAACTTTACTCGTATTTACTATCATTTAATGGCTAATATGTGAAAACTAATTTTACTTACTATTTATATCATGTAAGGTATATTACCAATATATTTTGAGTATATTCACTGACTAATTCTATTCAATATTATTATCAACACTATATTTATTGATAATCATTATTGTTATCATCATAATCATATTTACTAGCATTATTATCAATTGTTAATCATATCAACTTTTCACACAAACTTCAATGAAATATTAGGCTTTCAGCTTCTGACAAAATAGAACCCGTGCCGTGCCATCTCTAGAGCCGTTGGCAATGCTGACTTCATCGCTTTGTGTTTCCTGTTTGTTTGGACCATTCCAGATTTAACTTTCAGAATTGTTCATATTTATTTATTAAATCATATTTGGCTTATTTCTACTATATGTTAAGTTTGTCTGTAATGTGTTCTGTGTCAAGAACTTCAAAATTTCAAGTCAAGCGCAAGATTTTCCATGGTTTTATGAGCAAACCTTTTTTCCTCTCGCTAACTCTTGCGTGTAACTTGTCCCCGAAGTGACAGCGCCAGCTTGAGACTGGTCCAATCGATTTCCCAAAAGAAAGAGTCGAAAATTACTTATTTGTATAAACATTCGAAGCACTTGAGTTCAAATATCAGCCGACATCATAATACGTTAAACTTAGATCAAAAACAGAATAGCCTTTCATCTTCGAGATGATATTTTGAAGAAATTCTATCCGCCGTTTATTGTCTCAATGCGTGTTGTTAGTACCCATAGATCATCTGAGATTACGAGATCATTTTACTCTAAGTCGAGTGCCTAAAAGATGATTTTCGAAATAAAAACAGCTCAGTATACCCAGATAGTTTTTAGCAATTTTACTCGAAACAGAAGTGGGCCTAGTTTCATAACAAGCTAAACCTTTTAGTTTGTTTTCTAAATGTTTCTATTCATTTTTACGTTGAATGGAAACATTTTTCTCTTTACTTAACGTCTTTTTGATGTCAATACTTTACATACGAACTCTTTTGTGTAAACAAATGTTTTGCGGGAATGACTATTGCCTGAAGCGGTCTGGTAATAGCGTAAAACATTCCCTTTACACTGTCTAAATGATATAAATGACCTAAATAAGCACAAAAACCTTCCTTTTCTTTTTATTCACCTTGCCCTTTCTGTACTGAAAAGTACTGTATAAAAACCTCAAGTGTATCAAAGAAATATGTTTTAAGATCTGGGCGTGTCGTCGCTGATGATAAGAGTGTTTTTTCATGTAAAAGTTCTAAATATTTTGATTACTTAAAAATGAATTGAGCCATTGAGTTACTATGAGAGTGTAGAATCGTTTTTGGCGAGATAAGACTAACGATAACAGTAAGAGCTTAATGCGTGGTCCGGTTGTTGTACTCTCGTAAGTCAAAACGACTGTATCAATGATTCTCTCGTAGCAAAAAGCTTTAAGTTGAGGCTGGAAGCAGCTTAATAGGCAATGTGCACGAATGTAATTATCAAAAACAAGAGTCGATATGATACTTTGTGGCTTGGTCTATATAAAATTACAAAGAAATGATAATTATTAGTAGTTGCTGTTGTGTTGTTCTGAAATAGAAATCTATGATTTTTATTTAGCTGCATTATGCTTGAGTTTGTTTTCAATTTTTTTTCTCGTAAAAATATTACTTTTTTTCATTTCTTTCTTTCGATCATTCAGTCAGCCAGTTCTTCACTTTCGTCCTTTCATTCATAATCTTAAACAATTAATAATATTTTTTGTTTTCTTTCCCTATTTTCGTGTTATTATATTGACTTTTTCTTAAGAGATAAATCATTGTTTGGTGTTTAGAGAACAATAAAGAAGCCACCAGGGATAGAAAGATAGAAAGGGAAAGATATGAATAAAAAGTAAATTCAAAACCTGCGTTCTGTGATATATAATATAATGCATACATCAACCGAGGTGAATGATTCATTTGGAAATGCTGTAATGTCCTCTCTCTTTTAATTCGAATAGAATTAACTCAAAGCTGCGAAAAAACAACATTGAAATGTATAAATTCATTTTCTATAATCACATTAGTATTATTTTCCTCTTTGGTCGAATTTATTTAATATATTATAGTTTTACAATGCAACTTTTTACAAGAATATTCAACGCACGCTGTGCAAGTCTTATAAATAATTGGGAGATACAGCTGAGAGGTGTTGATCTTTGGCAATCAAATTGTAATCTTTGCATTAGTCGGCGAAATTATAAAAAATTCAAATAAACAATAATCTTCAACTAATTGCAAACACATACGACTTGAAAAATATTAGTTTTTGCTGTATGTAATTATTATTATTATCACAAGAAAATATCTTCCCTTCTTTTTGCCGCTTAATCAATAACGATCCTCAAGAAAATTTCTCTGTTCTTGCTTTGTTTTGTTGTTTGATGATGTGTTTTTACAGATATAAACATCTAAAAACAAGAAAGAAATATAAACGTTTGCAACAGACGCGCTTGTAGTGGTCGAATTTATACCATTTTAATGGCGATTCATTAGAAAAATCTTTCAATTATGATTGGTCTAAAGCGGAAGCCTTTTAAGTGTTTCCCGCCATTGTAGCGTTCACCGAGCCGTTAGTAAAAATCAACATCCTGGTCAACAAAAGAAGGCAAATAGTAATAAAATACATAGAAAATACAAATCCTGTACATGCTAGGCCAAGAACCTAGAACAAAGATCGATGCTGAATTCGAACTTAAAAAAAGAGAACTTTTAAGATTAAAATTGAATGCCGAAATCACGCAGTCAATGGCAAATTTTCACTGAGATATTATTTTCGATGCCGTTGTCACTGATCCTTGCACACTAGCAAAATGGATGCATAACATAGGATATTTTCAAAGTATTTTTATTTCATTCAATTTTGTGCGCGTTAATAAGTTGTCTCCTCGGACGGACGTTCAATTTTTGCGTTTCGCGCCAGAACCTCGTAGGCGGGGATCATGAGGTCGTGCGCTGCTTGAACTTTATGCCCGCGTTGTTCAAATCAATTCATCTTGAGAGAAAGAGATTTTGCCTTAAAAACATCAACTGTGAAACTAGAATGTACCTAATATTAAAATCTACTCCTAGATAGTTTCATTTCGGTGGTAAAGTTTATGACAACGCGTTGGTCAATTAGGTCATGGCGGCAGAAGAGTAGATAGCAACTCCCAGAGCAGCTCCTGCTTCGTCGGTCGACGTCAAAAGTAGTTTCGAGAATCAAAAGTGGTATCAAACTGGAAGTAACTGTGCGACAAATTCTACTCTTATATATGGAAAAGCATATTTTTACCGCCGTGGTAACCATTAGAATGATGAACGATTTTAGCAGCTCAAAAGGCAAATATTAAAGATTAAAATTTATAATTTTAAAATTCTTAAATGTAAAAATACACACCTTGGTCAAATCTAGTGTCAGCAGATTGTTTAGGTAAAACGTTTTAGGTCATTAAACATGATGCTTTGATGGGAATGTTTGTAGCAGCCATGTTTATATGGTGCACAAGGATGGCGAAAAGTTTATCGAAATTCTAAAATGCGTAAAAGTAACTATAAGCAAAAACTTTTAAAATTGGCTTCAATATCAATGCTAAATCATCGATTATCAGTAAACCGTTAGTCAAAACTGGAGTATAGTCATAGCAAATATAGTACCGTTTGACGTTTCTGTAATGATTTAGCGCGCGTTATAAAATATGAAATATCGATGATAGAGCCAGACTTCTGCAACACTTATTAATACACACAAATTTAGTAGTATTATTTCCTTAATGATTTGTCGAAAACTTTTCCCTGTATGTGATTGTGATGCCTGTCTTTCTGTGACCGGTCTTGGAGAGCGCGCCAGATGAACTAGAAGTTGTCCAAAAGGCGGATCCTGGAAAAATTTGTGATTGAGTTCTGTCCGACAACACTATAAAACTTCTGAATAAAAACACATTTAGAAAAATAAGCCAGGCAAACTGCTATTCCATATTTTTCGGTATATTCATTGCGGCAAAGATTTTTCCGTATTTATTAAGACTCAAAATCTTTTTTAGAAATATTGACACAAGATGCAATGTGTGTTTTGAAGTCTTGACGGTGTCCGACGTGCTCTATCATCAGGATAGCGATGTCTCAAATCTACTGATTTTGATCGAAGTATCCACTGTAGAATGGCTAGAATTATACTCGTTTTCCCCTTGGGCTGAGAGGTACAAACATTAACAGTAATGTTTGGTTAAAACTAATTGCGCAAAACGTATGCTCATTTGCCGACCTTGACCGACCTTCTCGATCGTTTGATTTCAGTTCTATTCATGTGTGGTGTTCTAATCGAATAAGTCGAAAAAGTATTAAGCATTTGATAATGACCTTCGCTTTCTTTTGAAAATTGTCGAAATGTTTGCTTAACTTTTAATTTCAAGTTTAACTTAAATATTAATTGTTGACTTTTTATGATTGAAATCATTTGTTAATCAGTGAAAACCCACGCCTTCTGAATTAAAAATAACACGGCTTCGTTTGAATACTGTTTTTTTTTTATCATGTCAACAAATACTTATAATTACATGTTGATATTTAAGAGCTTTATCGCTAGGCTTCGAATATATCCGCCCAACGTTGCGTGCTGTTTGATTTGCGGTGCGCGGTATCGGCGGCTTTTCAGAGCAAACAATACTGAAAACAAACTTTATCGCGGTAATATCAGTGAATATATTTAATATGAGGCACGAGATCTGTTTTAAAATTCATGCAGATCGCATGTGAATTGTTTGTACATTGCATATCAAATTCAAACATTAGCTAAAACATATTTTGCTAAAACCTTTAAGATGAAAAAAAGGTTAAAGTCGCATGCAAATATCCTATCAAACGATATCACGAGGCGAAGGTCTCTATAACATCACGGACGATTTGGTAACTAGGAATTATAAAGCAATAAAAACTGTTATTGATAGCTATTGAATGGAAGTTTTTAATACATCAAAAAACAACGTGTAAGAAGCAAAAAATGACTGGACTTTAAAGGGATACCAATACTTGTTTACATATAAGAAACATTACAGTGAAGGACGGTACATTATGGTCTAGCTTCCGTAGAAGTATTTCGATGAACTAAAGTTGTTTGTACCCAATCTAGACCACAAATTCAATGCATTATTTAGGAATAAGTTTCTTCTCCAGGCTACTCTTGTTCCAACGCTTCTACCGTTGGGAAACTAAGAAGGATCTCGGTACGAGAAAGTCGTTCAGGCATGACCCTACTATTCATTTGCTTCCGCCATCTTGGATTGGACAAACTGGCGAGAATGTCGGATCAAAAAATCACTTCACTGATTTTGTTTTTGTTGTACTGCTAGGTGTGGCGAGCTGTACGTCTAGTGGTCGATACGGGCTTACACTATCGAAGTATGAAAAGGTCTGAAGCACTAGAATACTTTGCCAACTATACATGGGACACGACCGACTTCGCGGTGAAGGAAGTCACTCGATATCAAAGTGATCCTGGACAAGCCACAGCCTATATGCTTGGGAGACTGGAACTTATCAAATTGCGTAATATGACTGAGAAAGAACTGGGTTCCAAATTTGACCTGAAAGAGTTTCACTACCAGGTGCTATCCCAGGGTTCTTCGCCAATAACATACTTGCAAGAACACATAGAGCGTTACATTGGATGCGTCAAAGCGACGAAAAAAAGCAAAATTTGTCAGTTGATTCTCAATCCTCCTCCTAAAAAAGTGGACGATAAAACTTTGGGCACTGGGAATCGATTGTTAAAGAACTCTCCGCGAAATATGCATTGGAAGAGATATCCTTAGCAGTAGAATATTTGTTCCTTGGTTCTTTGTGATAATATAAACCAATATCTTGGGCTCTGTGAAGTAATGTAAGATTAGGTCGCGTAGCTATCTGCCAAAGGTAATATCAGATGCGTTTTGTTCCTCGTCCTAAAAGGAATTGCGAATGACAGAAGTAAAATTGTCATGGAATGCATGCTTTTATTTCTTTTATTTACTCGAGAAGCAGCTCATGTCGATTTCAAATAGAATACTACTGTGGAGCCTCGTTAATCCGGACACAGACCAGACAAAGAAAAGTGGTCGCATTAACTGGGTAGAAACGTATATGAGTTTAGTTCGTCGGGACCTAAAAAAAGTGCCCTTCAGACGACGTTGTACGTCGAAATAAACCCCTCTCATGCTGGGGACAAAATAGAACCCCACCATTGTTCTGTGGCTCATAAGATGGAAATGCTTTTATATTGACTTCCAGGCGTCTGTATTAACTGGGAGTATAAAAATCCTCTTTAAAGAGCGAGACACTTCGTATAAATAAACTTTAATAATTCAGTATTGTTTTAAAATAAATACATGACGTCTTTTGGGAACAAGTGTTACTTGAATGAAATAGATAACAGAAGTGTTCGGTGCATCAATGAAYACCCACTGGATCCACCCCTTTTAATAGTTTTCGTACCGGCCATGTTTTGCAAAGCATTTACACTAGTAGGTCACGTGACCTTAACTATCCTAGATAATTATACCAAAAGAAGGGGGGACTTACCACGTTACCATCACCACTTTTTAGGTACTTTTTTCTGGATTAACCAAAATATATATTATACTTGTGCAAATTGACTCGATATAAAATACAAAAATAATGCCTTTAAATTGTAATATAAAAATGTGCAATTCACTAGATTTTGATTGGCCGAGAGCAGTGATATTAATTTTGTACTTTGCAATAGCAATATTTTCGTAAATGTACATGAGTATCAGCAATGCATGCTGGTTGTTTTCCGTACTCGTCAATGCGGCTTATCGATCCTTGTAGTTTGGGCTTTCCATCATAAACTCGTAAACTTGCCTCATAAAAGCCATTGTTAGGTGACGTTATAATTTGAATCTGGTACAACGTGTCGTGCTTAAGAGTGTTTTTAACTTTCTTACCGAAAATCGCTCCACAAGAATCGCATTTTCTATTCGAATGCGAAGTTTTAAACTTTCGCAATTTTTCATTTGGCATTTCTCGTGAAATACTTTTGATTTCTACTAACGTTAGTTTATGACAAAGTGACTGCACTTGGCTTCCTTCATTTTCAAGTTGTCTGTTTATAAGTTCAACACAGAAATTTGCAAGTTGTCTGACAATGGGTTCCTTCATGGGAACACTTTCAAAATTCAAACACGGACACCAATGATCTTCAACTCCTGTACTTTCACATGTGCGTTTCTTCGCGTCAATAGGATAAAACAAACTCTGTCCAACATGGATACCTTTAGGAGCAAATGGATAAGAAAGAACATGTTGTAATGTAGCATAAATATCGAATGGTGTTGTTAAAAGATGACTATTGTGCTGGACGGCTTCGTATAGTTTTGGATGTTTCTTTGGAAACCATGTTGGGAAAGTAATGGACATGTGAGGAAGGCGTTCTTCGAGTTTCCCTTGAAGAGTTTGTCTCATCTTTCCAAACCGCATTCCATGATCTCCAAAAATGAAAATAATTGTATCATCTAGAAAATTCTCTTTTTCCATGGTCTGTAATAGCTCAACAAGGTCTTCATCTGCATATTTGACTGAATTCATGTTACTGTGAGTAAGGTCGGAAAAATTTATGAAGGTAAATTTCCGATGTTCTTCGTAGGTACGAAACAAACTCAAAATATAATTAAACGCAAGACGATGTATCGCGTCATTTCCAACGCAGTGCGAAACCTTTTGATGGCGTTCACTTTCTATCCAGAAATACCTGCCGTAATGATCAGTTGGAGGGTTTTTAAAACCCTTTAACCGATAGTTAAAAGAGGCAAGACTAGGAGAGTCCTCGCTATACATGGTCACATAGCCGTGATTACGATAGTCTTGGAACACCCATCTCCAGTCATCAACAAATTTAGAATTAGGTTTGGAACGTCTTGCTTCAGGTTGGTTTTGTTCAGCTATTCCAGTAAGCATTGCGCACAGCTGGGCTGTAGTACCATCTCCAACGATAGTTTGTCCTGTAAAAAGGGACAGTACAGTTATTTGATTAAAGTATTCAAAATCTTACAAATATCTTCTAATGAAAAGTGATGCAATAATAATGATTGGTTGGTTTGGATAACTGGTTGGTTAATTGGTCGGTTGGTTGGGCGGTTGGGTTGGGTTGGTTAATTGGTCGGTTGGGTCGGTTGATTGGTTGTTTGGTTTGGTTTGGTTGGTCGGTTGGTTGATCTAGGTATTTTCGCCAGATAATTCCAAAGAAATGTTGACAGAAAGGAGAGCTGCATACCTTTCATGTAGACCGTTGGCCTTGTCTTCAGATATTCATTTGTTTTCGTCATTTGACGAATAAAATTTGCAGCTGAAGTTGAGTCAAACATTATCAGACAAATGTTGACGGGGATTCCTGTATGTTTTCCTGTTCTGTTGAAAACTTCTGGTTTTGGAGCTGCTTGCATGCGGAATTCTGTAACGTCAGGTTTTCTACCGCTTTGCCTGATGTCGACTCGAACAAAATCAGCGTTAACATATGCACTTCCATTGAATCTTCTTCCTACAATTCAATCGTGATTCATTTCGCTTTATGACATCTTATGCCATTTAAAAAAGATTGCTCGTTATGTCATGCATGTATGCATGTTTTGACTCAAATATACTCTTAACATAACAAGGAAATTTAAAAGCACAAAGAATAAATAATGATGCTGATGCTGATGCTGATGATGATGATGATGGTGATGGTGATGGTGATGGTGATGGTGATGGTGATGGTGATACTGTATAATACAAAAACAAGCAATAACAACAGCAAATAGTTGAACACTACAATCTTGGACATAAATGTTGACAATTTTTACACGCACGCGCGACATTTCTCACACTATTCGTTATTCGTTAAATACAATGTTATTTGGCATTCTTTTCATTTACTGTCCATTCATTAACCCCCGCTGCAACATTGATGTGGGAGGTAGGGAGGGAAGGGAAATACTTTCAGTAGAGCAAAGCGAAAATTGTCAGAGTATTTATGTTCAAGATTGAAGCTCGAGGACAAAACAATGGATTCTAGTTCTTAAGTGTGCAAAAATCTTTTTTTAAGTTATTTGTTTTGTCCTCCAGGCGAAGTGCTTTGATGTCACGTGCAAGCAGTCTATTAAGTTTTAAATCTATGTGTTACCTTTTGTAGTAACCACCTTGAATGCATGTGAACAAGAGCTGCCTGCTATTGCACGTTCATCATTTCTAGGAAATCTATCGCGGCTTTCTATGCACAGCTCGCTCCCAGTCACTAGAAGGCTACCATTAACGACTGTGAATGTTGTGGAGCAGTCACGCCGAAGAGATACAGTATTATCGTCCACTACAAGAAAAAACATCGTATGACTGGAACTGGCACATACGAGCCTGGTAAGTGGTGGTCATTCAAGATGTACTGGTCTACATCATACAATATTGTATTTATTCATGTGTCAACTCAACCTTTTTAAGATTCTTTTGAACAGTTTACAGAATTATAATATGAAGGCAACTCAAGCGAGTCCATATAGTATGGACTATAGAGAGTTGGTTAAAAATGGTCCCCAGTGCCTTGAACTTGGCGCCAATGTTTATGTTTTAGCTTATTCACATAAAAGTCAGAAATTTAATTTCAAGCCACAAGAAAATTAACCATAAATGAAAAGAGCTCATGCCTGCTAGCAATCCCTGAAAATTTGAAGGTAATTGGTTAAATATCTTAAGAGATCACGTCAAGCACCGAATTTGCAAGATTTTCTAAAGAATTGACCGTGGTGGGCTTATTGTTGCCAACCACTGAATGTTTTCTTAGATTTTGTAGTTTTGAAATGCCAATATCTCCAAATATAAAGGCGCGTTTGCCCTAAAATTTTCAGGTTTTGTTTACATTAATATAATCTTGAATTATATGAGTTCAGATTGCTTATTTTTTTGAATTTGATATTTTGAATGTAAACAATCTACGTCATTGTATACTATTCAAGACTATACATTTTACTTACAATTCACGTACAAACAAAGTCCACTTTGTCCATGAATAATGCTTGCGTCTTCAGCCATTTTAAACTCAATACGTTTCAAGCAACAATCAGAATGAAACACGAGGGCAGTACCATCTCGAGGCCTGGTGTTTCCACCACGTGGGTGCAGACATTTTTTACTTGCAGTATGCATAAAGCAACCAACTTGTCCTTAAAAATAATTTTAACACGAATTAAGATGAGACTTAATCTGAAAAATATATCCCTAGCGTCTTAGCTTTCTGATCATATCCTAAAATCTTATATTTTATTCCTTAAAAACTCTCTAAAGAGGGTTTAAAGGCCCAGTTTGCACCATTATGCTTTGCGCGCCTCTGTTATTGTTATGATTTACACCAAAATACTTCTAGGATCCAAATATCACCATAAAACGAATTTAAGATGGTTGAAAACTCTTATATTAGCGTTTAAAGTGCTTCGAAAAGTGAGATTGTCAAAGATTCGAAACACGCAGTACAATTTATAGACTTTCGTTAAACTGAAAATGGCCGCCTCCAGGCCCTTGCGGCCCCCAAAGCATAAGGTGCACGCTGGGCCTTTAATGCTGAATGAGTACGCTGACTAACGATACGATCAACAAAAAACATTTCGAACTAGTTGTGTCGCTGTAGACAATCGTATGTTTAGTGGAAAATTTAACATGGGCGAACTAACGACAAATACAGCATTAATACAAAAATGCTGAAAATGTCGTGAGTGTGCAACATACTGAGGGTAAACATTTTTTAATCGATAAGAAAGCGCTAAAATATTTCGTTGCTTGTCTTCAGAGTATGCGTTAGATTAAACAATGACAAACAAACAAAAAACAAAATTAAAGACGTTCAAAGACAACATGTTGTTACTCCCAATATTTAGAGTGATAATTATCAAATCGTCTGGAGGCAGGTTCGAGTTTTCATTGTAATCAATCTGGTTACAAGCTGCATATGCAGAGTGGTTTTCATGACACAGTATTGTACTCATATTTCTCTGTTTTCGATTTCAAATTGTTGACTAGAAAATATATAAGATTCGTAAATAAGATTCGGTTTTACTTGAACTGGAAGGTTAAAGAGTTAGACAGTTGGTAGAGGGTGTACATTGTGAAGCTATATTCATCCTTTCATTGATGGTAACGTTTGGATTGAGGTATATGGCAAAGATCAATTGTATGAGTACTCTCGGGGGGACGAAGTGGGGCTGCCATAAGTGTTGGTCACGTGCAAGTGTAACTGACTTACTCACTCACTTATTTCTTTACAGCACGATGACATAGTGGTTACCGGTCTTAAGACGGGAGTAACCACAAAAACAGGCCTGGACGTAATCCGATCCTTGTAATTTAATTGATGAAACTATTGTAGTCAAATGATAAATGTCTCTTGTCCCTCTACCACTGTATCTGACAGCTGTCCCATTAACACCGCTAGTCATAGCAGTATATTACATTTCAATTCCCATAACAAGGTCAAAAAAGGTCAAAAAACTCATTGACATTTTAACCATTTTTAGTTCTCCACACGTTTTTTTATCGATGATGTAAGATTTTGTATATACATATATATCATGTTACATTACCCATGCTGTAGCAACATAGTTAATGATCATCTTTGGTAGCTGGGGAATTTCGTGACATTTCTTATATATTTCGACGGAACTGAGTCTTTAATATCACCCTTTATTTAGAGCACACAACAAACAAATGAGATCATACGATTGTACCGTTGGTTTTTTTTCGTTCAGTCGTGCTTACCTGGTGCTGGAGGTTGGTCGACTTGCGTTACATCCAAGTCGTTTGCTATTAAAACAGGCTCTGATAATTTAACGCCAAAATCGTTTCCTTCTGGTCGATTTATAATTCGGTAACTCACAGATACAACATCATATGCCTCAACATGAAGTACATTATTCTCAAACGTTGAAAACCTCGTCCCACAATCTAATTTACCAAAGTCTACTATCAAATCCCTAACACTCGAGTGATTTGGATCGAGAACCGGCAGTCGGCACACTGCGTCAATGTTAGTAATATTTTCAGCCATGTCCTGGATCTTTTCGCGTGGAATCGTCGACTTTGTTGTCCTTACGTCTCCGATAGTATCAAACAACGGTTCCTCTGGGGCCTCAGTAATTTGAAAGACAGCGTTTATGTCTCTGGCCTTGAAATATGTAAACGTAAGATGAGACTGTTCAAGAATAAATACTAATACAAATACTACCAATGCAAGAGCTATGATCCAGCGCTTCTGTTTTGAGGCAACTCTATAAATCAACGTTGTATACTGGATTGCCGATCCGTCCATTGTCATAGATCACATGGAGCCATTCACGTTTTCAAGATAAGTAACCGTCAGCTGGCCGAATAAGTATCCACAGGAAACCCAAGCTGTGAATTCGTGAGGTATACATTTGTTTGATATGCTAGTCACTAAAGTATTTTTAATGTGCAAACGTATTTGAGTATAACCCTAAGGTCCTGTTTACATGGAGGTATGCTTAGAGACTCATCCAATCTTGTAAGATGGGGGCACCCTTGATTTTAGGCGAAAGGCTATCTCAATTTGACGGCCATTTTCAGTGTCGTTGATCTATAGCACTCAAAAAATACACTCGAGTATCTTAACGATAAAACTGAATTAGCAGCCGAAAAAAAACCCGCTTTTCTGCTATTTTTGTTGTTTCCGAAATGATAGTATCTCTACAAGCTCATTTGCCATGCTTTAACTGTTGTGGTATGGTGACTCTACTGCTTTATAATGTAAACAGGGACTATCAGTATTTAGTGAGAAAAAGATAAAACAAATATATCAGTCAAATATATCTTTTCAATTTCATGTGGAGTTACCGCGCGCGGTAATCTCATTCCTGTCGGCTTCCTGTTGTTTTGGGAGGGACAGGAAGCCCGACAAAAAGGGGAGACTGCGAAGGAGACTACTAGCGCTACATTCCATTCTCATATTTATCAGCCGTGTCTTATGTAAATTTTTAAACATTTACCAAATTCACTCACGCGACTGTCCCTTGTGTCACGATGTCGGCTAATGGTTGTAGTTGTCAAGTCCAGAGGTTTTGTATCCTAACAAAGCTAGTGTCAACACGTACCCACCGGGGACCCCGTCCCCTCTCCCTTCTTAGTAGGAACTGATCGTCAATTACGTCCCCAAAAAGTGGGGAGGTGGGTCCTTTTTCTAGGGGAGATTAAAAACGGGGTCTTTTTTCAGCATTTATAAATTATGCAAACGAGGTCAAGTTTGTTTTACTTAACCTTTGGCTTTGTTTAAGTCCGACTCTATATGACTGAAAGAAAGCTACTTTAGACTACTTTTTTTGCACGCTGTTTTACATTTTTCTTCATCTTTGTCTGAACTTTTCTCTTGTTTTTGCAGACTATATTGCTCTTGAACTTCCTTCGCTACACTGCTCATATAGTAAAGTATGTTTTCTATCGAATTCAAAAATGGTTGTTCAGTAAAAGGTGTAAAATTCTCGTAAATGCGAACTTCAATTCGTTCGCCTCCATCGACTACATAATTTTCCCTTTCTTGCCCGCTCTTGAAGTAGATCAACAAGGACCAATCAGGTGCCGTGTAATATGTGCGCGCGTTTGTGATTGGTTGTCTAAAAATAGATTATCGGGACATCTGATGGTGGCGATATTATTGGGGAGATGGACACTTCTGTTATGTACTTCTGTTTTCTGCTTTTAGAGTATTAAAATGATAAAAAAGAAAAAAGTTTAGCACACAACTAAGTTTAGGAACGGTATAGAGTACTAAAGTGATGACGTCACAAAACGAAAATGTTTGAGTTTTTAAATTTGYSCTCMATAWTHTRAAAGYGYATCATTTTTAATGCATCCTTGCTAAATATGAGTGTCTTAGTGTCATTTGTAGCGGAGATACAAGCGATTTTATGGTCGGGTGACTACATACAAACGCTTGTAAATTTGGTATTTTTCATAACTAAAGGAACAAGACCAAATTTACAAGCGTTTGTATGTGGTCATCCGACCATAAAATCGCTTGTATCTCCGTCATAAAGGGCACTAGGACACTGAAATTTGGCAGAGAGCTACTTTTTTCCATGCGTTTTAAGGATATGTCAACGAATCCGAAAAAAACTATTTGTGTGACGTCACACTTTAGTACTCTATTGACACCTTTTTAGAACAAAAATGTGTGAAAATATTTGTGTGTGCGATAAAAAAGTACTTAGGATTTTCTCACCTGGGATTTTCTTGACTAATGAGGTGAGCGCTCGCTGGCGACTTGAACTTGAAAACAATGCGCGCTCGCTTCATTTTCAACCAATCAGAAATCGAAAAATAATCTCAAACATTGTCTTCCGCTGGATGGCAAAAGTGCGGGCTCTGGGTGCGAGATTATTATGCAGGACACGAGTTCATTTCGCCGTTAAAACATTTCGTTTACACGTTTTCTTGGGTGTTTGTTTTATTCGATTTTTTGTACATTGATTACTAGAGCAAAGCGAAAACTCGTAGGTGACTTTTGTTTAAAGTGTTAAGTGTTTTGCGTTACTTCCAAGGACCCCCAAGGACCATTGTTGATGAAAAGGTAAGCTCAAGCTCGCGAGAAACAGTGATGACACATTAGGAAAAAGGTTAGTATCTTTAACAACGAAATAGTACATCGATATTATACCAAATGTAAAGTTTTATAACTCGGCATTCGATGTCGAGCGCGACAGCTTGTCACGGTTTAAAACAGGCGGTTTTAATTAAATAGACTAATCTGCAAGGCAAAGTGCAAAATTATACCAGGATTTCGAGCGAGAACGTAGTTTTACGTACCCTGCGAACAAGTGTTATTTGTCTTACATCAATAAAAATTCGATTTCCTTCCTTCCTTATGTTATTGCCGCGAATACATTTTCATAGAATTCTTATCAAGCGCTTCTTGTGAATTAAGCAATTTTGAATAATTTAAAAGCTTTGCCTTCCTGGCAAACCATTAAACTATATTTAAGAAATAAGGGCGCGCCTCTCTGTCCTGATATAAACACGATAGGAGTGGAAAAAAACATGAGAGAAGCAAGCTTAGAAACTCTTGCTTCTCTCGCGTTATATATAAAAATTTTTCTAAAATATACTAACGCTCTGTCATTTAGGACGCTCCCTTTTAGTGGGAGTATTAATTTCTTTTTATTATTACTTCACTTTTCGTTTTGTTTTTCCATATTATTTTATTTCTAGCCGATTTGACAATTCACAAAGCTTTTTTGCCTTTCAAGGTCAATTCTCTTGCTATTAAATTAGGCCAAAAAAGGTGTTTTCAAGATGGTCTATAGAAAACTCTTAAAGAAATGGTGGATTATGGTAGCAGTATTTTCCTTGCTCACTACATCATTCTACATCTATGAATATTCACAAGAAAAGAATATAAGCTTTAAGACATTAATGGGAACTTCTCAGAATTTAGCAACAGTATTAAGTCAACATCATCCTGGTTCAAAATCTGGCAAATGTCGACTTCCAGTACTTGATCCATGGCACTCAAGTGTGAAAAGTTTAGTAAAAGATCCTGGTAAACTTAAATGTGGAGTTAGTCAGTCGACATTTGAGAATAATACACTGTATGTGGATGCAAATAATGCAGTGTCTGTGAGTTATCGTATCATTCAACGTCCAGCTGGGGACGATTTTTCAAGGAGTCTCTCTGAACCCTTTTCGATATCCCAACAAACAACTAATACCAAACCAAGCCAAGTCATACCAGGTGGGTACTGTTCAATTAAAACTTGTTGGGAAAAGTAGTTTCATAATATTTCTTTTTTGTATTAAAATTGCTATGATTTCTCTAAGGTATATCTGGATGTTTAATCCACATCGAAAGCAAGAAATGTTTACATCCTAATGGTGGTGAACTCCAACCCAAAGAGGGCACACCGCTAGTGTTCCATTCAGATTGTTGCTTTAGACGCATTGAGTTCAAAATGGCAGAAGATAAAAGCATTGTCCATGTGCCCAGTGGACTTTGCATAAATGTGAAGGGTAAGAACAACTGTTAATTACTTTGCTATACATATATGTTTTTGAATTATAGCCAAAAGGTTACATGGTTATTGCTAGATGGGGTACTGTATATCAGAGGTTCGTTGGTTATCATAAATTTGGAAAATGATCACTAAAAAATACCAAAGAATTCCCTGGTGCATGTGTCAGAAAATGATTTTTATTATACCAAACACGATAACTTTTTTAAATAATGTCTAAATAAGTAAGCATGCATTCCAATAAAAAAAATCAATTTAAAAGATACCAGTTTATATTATGTTAGCTCAATATACTTTGGGACTCCCTGAAATAAGCCAGCTTATTGACCAAAATCATCTTTCGTTTCTGCTATATAGGAGTTTCCACAATGTCATGTACTAATGAGACAAGCCATCTACTACAGTAGCATGGATGGCCTAGTGGTTAAGCTACTGGCCTCTCACCGCTGTGGTCTGGGTTCGATTCCCGGGCACGGACCATATGTGAGTTTGAGTTTGTTTGATGTGTTGTTCTCTTCCTTGCCTTGAGGGTTTTTCTCTGGGTCCTCCGGTTTTCCTCCCTCAGTAAAAAATCAACATGTGAGGAGTGTTTTGTGCAAAAATACTTAATGTAGAGGTAGTGAGTGTGAGGGCCACAAGTTCATCAGTTCTTTACTGTCACGTGTGTACCCTTAAAAACAAAACAAAGTCGACTATATGAGACTATGTTTTGTTGGAAAAACTAGAAACTGAATGAACATGAGAGGCTACCTTGGCCCTTTTTGTTGATTAACTTATTTAACAAGATGCTATTTCTCACTCAGGGGAGAATGGTCCTCAACAAAAGAGGCCTGCTTTCTTCTTCATCTACCACAAAAGACCCAATTAAAATCCCTGGGTTTTTGATTATTAGGGAGGCTATATTATATTGTTATTTTGTTGATAAGCTTAGAAGCACAAATTATTGCTCTCTTTCAACAGTAAATTGTTGTAAACAGTTTTTGTTATTTTTAGATGATAAAGTTGTTCTTGATAAGGAATGCTCAACAAAGTTCACAGTTGACAATGGCACACTTCACGTGACTGGGAAAGACCTGTGCTTAGGTAGTGTCGAACGATTACCTAAAAATAATGAAAATGTGATGATGGGAAGGTCTTGTTCTCATGTCTTTGGTCTTGTGACTATGCAAGGTATCTGGAGTTTGATTGTCTCTTTGTGGTATTTGTTTTATTTATTTATTTTCTCTCTGTTGCTCTGCTTTTCTTTCAAATCCAATGACAAGCTTAGTGAAGTTATGTACTTAAAATGCATTGAATTAAGTCCACCTCCACACGAGTCCAGAGATTTACGGATTTTTTTTATCCTGATGGCAAATGTTTTTGTGCCCACACGTAGTGTATAACAAATTCTGTGCGTATATCGTATACAGAAATTCCCACTCGCGAGAGGGTACATAGAGACTCTTCAAAGACACACTCTACCTGTATCCAAATAAAAACATTTGCTATACAAAATCTCTGGACAAGCGTTCAGTAGGGACTTCATTCCCAAATGAAAGAGTACAAAAGACACGATTTATTGTCGGGTAAATTCACTAAAACTCACCATTTTCCAGTGACAAGTTTACTTGCTAGCTCTCTTTTTCCCTCCGTCTACACGATATACTCCCAACACACTCCAACAAGTGTGGTCAAGCGATGAGAGCGCGAGGGAGGGTGCACGTGTCGCTTACAATTTTTCCAATCTCGTACCCAGAGCCCGCACTTTTGCCATCCAGCTGACATTAGCCGAGAAGACTCTGGGCTCGAGATTGGCCTTTTTCCAGTTCAATGCGTGCGACCGCTCTTAGTAGACAGCAGAAAGAAAGCACGAAAAAAAAAAATGGTGACAGTACAATAGCTCTAGAAATTTGAATTTGAACGCCTGTTAAACCCGTTCAGAACCGGTTGGCGCATCATTGGCGACTTGAGTTTCTTTGATTCTATTGTTTCAAAGGTTCTTTGTCGGCCTCCACGCACGTTACAGCACATCAGAAATACTGACAATATTAATCATTAGGTAAAGGAGTCAAAGCAAGTACACTTATCAATGCTGATTTTATTCGCGTCGACATCAAGCAAGGTGATGGAAAGCCCGACATTACAGAACTCCATATGCAAGCAGCCCCCAAACCAGACGCTCTTAAAAGAGTGCGAAAACCCACAGGGATCCCGATCAACATTGGTTTGATAATGTTTGACTCCACTTCAGCTGCGAATTTCATTCGTCAAATGACGAAATCAAATGAGTATCTGAAGACAAGGCCAACGATCTACATGAAAGGTATGCTTTTGTGATGTTCTCTACTTTATTATGTTTATTTGTTGCCGTCATTTTGTGGGATCATCCATCGATGTACGGATCGTTTCCAAGTCATGTATGTCATGTATATACATTTCTTTCATGAAGGCAAAACGTAATTTAAGACCTGGTTAAAGTCGATGCCGGCAATATGGCATGCCTGCATTTGATTGCTTGCTTGAATGTTGGTTGGTGTGCTGCTTGCCCAGCCGTCGCCATTCAATGGCTTCTTGCGATAGATTACCAGCTTCAGGTTTCGTTTTTGTGTTCAACTACGCTCTAGATAAACGAAGTTTATAGTAGACATGAGTTCAAAGTGAGGTGATGTACGGATTCTTTGCACTTTTGGACGATGCTGCTTAACTAGTTAATCAATTGTTACTTAAAACAATAAAACCTTTAGTCTATAATAAGCTGTAATATAATCCGTTAGTATACAACCACCTCGTTGAGGAGACGTGTAATTGAAATAAACTCATCATAACTCTGTAAGTTGAGTATATAAGTTACTAAGGTCACTTCCCGAATACTGATTTCCTTTTTACAGGACAAACTATCGTTGGAGATGGTACTACAGCCCAGCTCTGCGCAATGCTTACTGGGATAGCGGAAAAAGACCAACCGGAAGCAAGGCGTTCCAAACCTAATTCTAAAGTAGTTGATGACTGGAGATGGGTGTTCCGAGACTATCGTAATCACGGCTATGTGACCATGTATAGCGAGGATTCTCCAAACTATGCTACCTTTAACTATCGTTTACATGGTTTTAAAAACCCTCCAACTGATCATTTCGGCAGGTATTTCTGGATGGAAGGTGAACGTCACCGACACAATGCCCAGTGCGCTGGAAAAGACGCAATGCATCGCCTAACTTTCAAATATTTCTTAAGCTTCTTTCGTACGTACAAGAAAAAGTCCAAATTTGGCTTCTTAAATTTGGCTGAACTCACCCACAATGATATTAATCCTATCAAGTACGCGGACGAAGATCTTATGAAATTATTACAGAACATGGAAAAAGAGGACTTTCTAGAAGACACCATTCTCTTCATATTTGGAGATCATGGTATCCGATATGGAAAAATGAGACAAACTATTCAAGGGAAACTCGAAGAACGGCTTCCTCACATGTCCATTACTTTCCCAACATGGTTTCCAAAGAAACATCCAAAACTATACGAAGCCGTCCAGCACAATAGTCATCTTTTAACRACACCATTCGATATTTATGCTACATTACAACATGTTCTTTCTTATCCATCTGCTCCTAAAGGCATCCATGTTGGACAGAGTCTGTTTTATCCTATTGACGCGAAGAACCGTACATGTAGAAATGCCGGAGTTGAAGATCATTGGTGTCCGTGTTTGAATTTTGAAAGTGTTCCCATAAATGAACCCATTGTTAAACGACTTGCCATTTTCTCTGTTGAATCAATAAACAAACAACTTGAAAACGAGGGCAGCAAAGTGAAGTCAATTTGTCATAAACTAACTTTGAAAGAAATCAAAAGTGCTTCTCGTGAAATGCCAAACGAAGTTGTGCAAAAGTTCAAACAGACGAATCCCAATCAAAAGTGCGATTCTTGTGAAATAGTCCTTGGTGGGAAAGATGAAAATACTCTGGCTGAAGACACGGCGTATCAGATTCAATTCATAACATCACCTAACAATGGCTTTTACGAGTCAAGCATTCGAGTTGAAAAAGGAAAGCCAAGCTTGACCGGATCGATCAGTCGGATTGACTCGTATGGGAATCAACCCGATTGTATTGCTCATGATTTTCCTCATTTACGAAAATACTGCAAATGTAAATAGTTCGGTTTTTTTTAATTTATTATATCACTTAGCTCGAAACGGTAGGGTTTTTTTTATTTTGCTCATTCAAAGCGTTTTTACGGAAAACTATAAACAAGCAAGTGTCTTCTTAGACTGATTCCATAAGCCATAGTATTAGCTCCTCGATTTTTCGGTTTGTCGCTCAAATCGGTGAGTGACGGAGAGGGAACTGGTACCGACTTATGGAATCAGTCTAGTTCTTCTACTTTAGCATAGCCTCCTTTGCAGATGTTATTAGTATCGGTCATAACGTCTGAAAAGGGGGCTAGTTTCACCAGTGTTCGTGTATTCATTATTATTTATTATTATATTACTATTGTATAAATTTTGCATGCCAAACTCAATTCCGAGGAAGATTTCATTTTCAATAAACCTAAATCGGAATCAAGAGAAATAAAACTTAAAATTGTGTGTATGAGCTGTGGGAGAGATTCTTGTTGTACTGTATTTTTTATTATAAATTATTTTTTGATATATAATGCATTCTCTGATTGGCTGACGAACGTGTTTATATTAGAGGACAGAGACACGGCTTACCGGCAAAATTTGTCTTTCGCTCGAAAAACGCAGAAAAATATTTAAGAAATATAAAACGGCGCGCGTGTCTCTGTCCTCTGATATAAACACGGTGGGAGTTCGAAAAACACGAGAGAAGCAAGCTTGGGAACAGGAGCGTAGCGAGGTTTCTCTTGCTTCTCGAGTGTTTTTCAAAAAACAACATGTGTAATCTCTAAGGGGTTAAAAATCAGTCAGCCACGATAAAATACGATAAAAAACATCTATGAAAGAAGAGAAAAGAAAACCTCTGGGACCAGGGTAGGCGAGAGTTGACTGTATACCACAAATAGCAATAATATATAAAAAACAGAATATTTGAAATAAAGTTTTCCTACCTTGGGTTTAACTCACTTCCGTTCCTTGTGTGTAATTTGGGCTCAATTGGAGCTGTTTTAGAGGGTTTTTGTGATCTCTGTTCCTCTACCTAAAGAAAAATGACAGATTAGAACATGCAATGACAATCTCGCCTTATCGCTCAAAGATCATCTTCAACAGAAACATACTTGTTTCAAGCATAGGTTTCATCCATATCACGTGACCATATGACCGCCATTTTGGATTTTTTTGAAAAAGGCTATGGAAGAAGTACACAGACAAGTTGAAACTTGATGAAAATGCATATGGCGTTTATATTGATGATGTCCACATGAGTCCAACCGGATATCGTGGATTTGACCAATCAATAAAATGAATTTTACAGTTTTGTGTTCAAAAATACATTTTCCACACAATATCCAGTTGAAGTCACGTGGACATCATCAAATATAAAAATTCATATGCATTTTCATGAAGTTTCAACTTTTATGTGTACTTTTTCCAGAGCCTTTTTAAAAAAATCCAAAATGGCGGCCATATGGTCACGTGATTTGGCTTTATCATTTTTTAAGTCTTGTATTTTTCTAGTGTTTATCTAGCCTGATCTAGCCTGACCCAGGCCCCGTCTGAAAATCAGGCTAGTGTTTATCATGAACTGCATGAATTGAGGCTTATCGGGCATGGATGAGTGGATACAAACATTTTCTATGTTGGGAGTGGGCCGGTGACAGGAAACAGGAAATAGGCAAATGAACATCTTGTTTTAAAGCTAAGTTTTATTTGCTTTACTCTAAAATTAAGAACCTAAGTAGCCTAAAATTGTGTTAAATACTATTTATATAAGAACCTGTTTACGCTACTTCCCCAAAATGTAGGTTCTTATATGCAGGTTTCTACTGTATTATTGTTAGCATTATTCAAACAAACAGTAAACGTCAGTGTAGAGCCAGCATCAGTGTCATGTGACTGTGCAGGAAATCGATAAGTATATTAGAAAACAGTCAACTCTCTCGTAAGCGACCATCTCGGGATCAGGCAAGTGTCGCTTACAAGAGATGGTCTCTTACAAGAACATTAGCACAGGAAACCCAAACAATGATAATCACTATTAAATTAACTGGAAATGTAATTTGTGTATGCTTTATAAGTAATTAAACACACGCCTTTATTGCGTCAGTCGAGCCAGTGGTCGTAAACGAGAGAGGAAAAACAATGAAAAACTGTACAATTTCAATTCCAAAGGTGGTCTTTTTACAAAAAAGATGGTCGCTTACGGGAGATGGTCGTTTACGAGAGTGGTTGTTCAGAGAGAGTTAACTGTACTTGATTTCAGATACATCTACATGGTGGTACAATCATATACACAAAGGTTTACAGAATGAAGGTAGTTGATTTATTTGCCATAGTCTCAGTTTTCAACTGTCAGGATTTCATACATGCAGCAATACTCTCTCTCATTGATTTAGAGCCAACAATAGCAAAATCCACTTGCCAGGGGCTAATAGTATAGCTGTCACATGATAAAGTGAGCCAATGTTTATCATATGAATGCGATTATTTTCAACAACAGCGTGATTAAGATAGAACAACAAGATGTTGATAAATAACTCAAGATTTAATTATTAGGAAAAAATGATTTATGGATAAATTTAATACAAAATTGATTTAATTATTTAAATTTGTAATAACAGAGTTAACGTACTAAAACCGTGAAACAAATAGTACTAATTACTTCTAAATAGTATTAATTAGACAATTATGTAAAAATATATATCAATTTTGCAAACAATTTTTGCTCAATGATGATTGCCGTGCAATATCAAATTAACTCAAAAAAGGAAACAAACTATAGTGTGTACATAGTGTATTTCCACGACAATATTGTTTCTTATTGTCCGAACACTTGATGTCGAACACTTGATGTCGGCCCTGTTCGGACTATATGAAACAGCAATTGTTGTGTAAATACATTATGTACAGTCACTATAGTTTGTTTTGTATATACAAAAGTGCGATATTCTGTATCTTTGATTCCAATCTAAAATATGCTCTTTGGGGTATACATTATAAAGAAACTCAGTATGCACTATGAACTGAGGCTTGTTTGAGTTCATTAGCTACTTATAGGTAGTGTACAGTACTTTTTCCAAGAAACTGAAAAAAATCCTCTTTTCACATGCATAATTCAACATATTTTTAGTATTAATTTGTACTAATTGTCTCATGCATTAAACAAGTGCACTCTAATCACCTGAATGTGTCCCATGCCTAAACCACCTAAATCTACATCCAAAACACACTTGTTCACATGATATTCCCCCCACAAGGTGCCCAACATCTTAATGATTTTGTCCCAACTCTAATCCACCTACACCCCACCTCCCCCATCACCCACACTTAGAATATGTTTGCTGGTATTCCGGCGGTATTTCCTCAATAGATGAGGTAACGGTTTTGGCGGCCATCTTTTCCGGTAGGTTAAGTGTCGCAAAATAACAAGGATAGACCGGGAAATCTATGTCAAATAATTCTCGCTGAATTCAAATTCGGAAAGAGTTATCAGTTGCAAACGTTAGATAATGTAAAAAGGAGACTTGATCAAGAGAGCGAGTTAACTTATTTTTAGTTCCCCATACATTTCTTTGCAATTTCCGGGGTCATCAGCGTGTGACACGCGTGAAAAATACAAAGAAATGTATTGAAAACTAAAAATAAATTTACTCGCTCCCTAGATGAAGTACGTCCTTCAAGTTTGGCCGGGTAACTCCTTTTTCTAACGTTTGCAATTTATAATTCTTTCCGAATTGGAATTCAGCGAGAATTATTTGAAATCGATTTCCCGGTCTATCCTTGTTATTTTGCGACACTTTGCCTACCGGTCCAAGATGGCCGCCAAAACCGTCACCTCATCTATTACTGTGCCCCGAATTCCGGCGGAATGCTAGGCATCCAGGGAAACTCCAGCTACTCCGGCTGCAATTCTGTCGGAATTCCAACAGAATCCCAAGTGAAAGTGGAATGAACACGTTGTTCATCTTGAAATTTTTTTATTGAAATTATGCCAATGTCGCAGTCCATTTGCCCATAATATTTAAGGCACTCTCCTGGCCCATTTGTAGAGAAATATGTGGTCTCCCTGTGGAGAGACTGGGATTAGCCCAGTCAAAACCCCGTATGTAGTTGTATGTAGTCGTCTATCATTCTGCTTGTTACACTGAAATAAACCGTTTTAACAAGGAAATGGATGGACTCATTTCTATGATAGACGACTACCATCTATAATACTGCAAGGGAAACGTTCAAGAGACAAAACTACAGCACAAAAAAGCTACAACGTCGACGAAACGTGACGGCCGCCATCTTGGATTTTACCGCGATCAAAACCTTTTCGACGACTCAAAAGCGAATCACAAGTCAATCAAACCTCAAACACGATGACAAAACACAAGTGCCCCTTCCCAGATTGTGATTACGAGACTACCGACGTCGGAGACGAGCTTGCCGCTGTACTAATCTCTATTCACGCGAAAAGTGCCCACACGAGTCCTCCAGTCCATGGTGCTCCTAACCCCTCTAATGAAACGGCGAGGATCGAGAAAGTACGCCAACCAACAATATCGAGCGCTGGAACGAGCGAAGAATAGTCCTATTTTATGACACGCTGAGGGGACTACGTCGAGGAAACGAAAGGCAAAGATAAGGTCATTCAACTCCTCGAATGTTGTGACGAACAGCTCCGGAAAGACCTTACACGCACTGCAGGCTGCTCTTTAACACATAAAACCACAGAAGACGTCCTCAAGGCTATACAGCTGGCTGTTCGAGAGGAAAACGGCATGGTAGCCAGAGTTCAGCTCCACAACATGAGACAGGGACGAGACAATAAGAAGCTTCGGCGCACGCCTCCGCGGACAAGCCGGTGTATTTCTCGTCAAGTGTCCTGGATGCAGCACCTACAGTGGGAATGTACTCCGGGTCGTCGTCACTCGTGGCCTAGAGGATGACGAAATCCAACTAGACCTATTCGGAGAGAAGAACGAAGATATGTCACTGGAAGAAGTCCTACAATATGTGGAGGTCAAGGAGTCTGGCAAGCAATCAGCAGGACGCCTCCTCCAAACCCAAGGCGCTGAGGCAATGCGAAGCCAATACCGAAAGCAGCAGAACCCCAGTCAGAAACCCAATTACAAACCAAACGACAAGCCCCACATCGAAGCCTGCTACTGCTGTGGAAAACAAGACCATGGCCACATAACCTCTGCAAACAAACAACGACAACAAGAGTGCCCGGCCTTCGGCACCTTCTGCCAACTATGTGGTCGCCCAAACCAGTTTGCTACCGCATGTAAAAGCAAAAAAGATTCCCTTCAGCTAAGAACTTCCATCCCAGACGGCAAGGGCAGACAAACAGAAGGCGCCATCTTCTACAATCTGTGTGGTGTTACCAGCGGGGACCACACTGTCTACGGCATCGCTCTGGATCACCACCTATACAACATGAACGACTGCTGGATCTGATGTGCATCCAAGCCACAGCCACACATCTCGCTTAATGCTACCATCCACCCACAAGACTATGCTGCCCTTGGATACAAACCGGTTACCAGCACACCTAAGTCCATACAGATATCTGCAATGGCAGACACAGGCTGTCAAACTGTCTAGTCAGCTTTAGCATTGTGCGGCGCCTGGGGTTAAGTGAAGCCAACCTAATCCCTGTCACCACACGCATGCATGCAGCTAGCAATAGCAGCATAAAGATCCTTGGTGCCATTATCCTACGATTGACAGGCACAACTAACCTGGGCAGCACCTCGAGACAAGGAAGATTGCATATGTCACCAACGACTCAGACCGCCTATTCATAAGCAGGGAGACCTTTCAGGACCTGGGAATCATCTCAGAATGTTTCCCCACTGTGGGAGAGACGCCTCCTCCCCAACACAACCACACCGTAACCACGTCAGTCGGATCAGCGGACCAAACAAACCAACAGTCTAAACTACCAGCATGTAACTGCCCGCAATGACAGGAGGCACCTCCCAAACTGACTGCAACAGAGACCAATCGCAAAGCCCTACAAAATTGGCTTCTTGATTATTACAAATC